ACACACACACACACATGATGACATACAGAAACACACACAAAGCAGTCTGCCCCAAGGCCACACCTCCCCTCAAACTGGATGCAGATTGACCAGGGGCTGTGTGACTGTATTGTTTGCTTGTGTACATAATGCACAGTATAAGTATGTATGCAAGGACGGAGAGTTGTAATTATTAAAGCGATCCTTTCAAGGAACACTCAAATACACACATCCTTGGATGCCAACACAGGAATTCATGCACAAAAAGAGGAAAAAGAAAACTAACAGAGACTCACAGTCATTGTACAACAGTGTCTTCTTCCCTTACCAGCACCACATGATGTTTGTCCTCTTAAGTTTTGGAGAGAGTGAGAGAGAGAGAAGGAGAGAAGCAAGGGATTGTGCTGGTAATGGCAAGCGGACAGTTTGTTTCTCTCTTGCTGGCTGCTTCTTTGGTTGTTTTTTTACACAGGGCATCAGAAGCAAAGAATGTGCATTCAAGAGCAGAACGCAGAGCGAGGCAGCGGCGAGGGGAAAGTTAAGGAAGACAGGCCTTGTGTGAAGAGAAGGAGGGGAGTAAGGGAGAGGAGAGAAGTTTGAAAGTGAACAAGACAGAAACTCAGTGGAGAGCAGAAAGGAGGGAGGGAAAAGGAGTCCAGATCCTGAGGAAGAGGGACACAAAGGGGTTTTTTTGGCTAAAAGGGAAATTAGAGCAGAGCAGACCAAGGGAATGAGAGAGAGAGAAAAAGGAGAGAACGAGAGATTGGGAAAGAGAGCAAGAGAGAGGGGGTCAGTCGCTGGATTGCGTATGACCGCAAACTTTACAAATCAGAGAAAAACAAGTTAGTTAAACCCTCTTTTAGCTCGAATCTTTGTCGAGTTCCTCTTTTTAGTTTCAGCTGAACTAACGGTAAAGACATTTAAATAGAAACAGTGAACATTCCAGATAGTCTGTTCAGGGGTGAAGAGAAAGCTCAATTCTTTTAGAACTGATTGCACATGTGAAGTCTTTTAAACATCTGGCCTAACTCCCTCTAATGTGATAACCCCCTGCACTGTCACTGGCACTCTCTGTTATGACTGTATAGCTGCTGTAAGACACACACTGAAGTCCAGGTAGTTCGCAGTAGTCACAGACTTTTTCAGGAAATGTCTAACTCTGGAAAATGATCAGACCCACATTTCCAGACAGTTTCCGGAGTTCATGTCTAAAAACGGCTCAAGTGTGTGTGTGATTAGCGTCATAGGCCTCAGCAGCCATTAAAAAACAAAGGGCATCATTAAAAGTGTACACTCAATATTAATAATTATAATAAACATGTAAAACCAAACACAACTAACCAGCATTCTTTTACATACTCATAATACCCTGCAGTCTGTGTCACATTGTGTGCAGGAAGTACAACACACCATTTGAGGGTTAAGACTTGGTTTTAGGGTCAGGGTTGGAACTAAGTTAGGGTAAGGGGCTAGGTAATGCATAATGCCAATGAGTGTCCTCACTAAGATAGAAGTACAAGAATGTGTGTGTGTGTGTGTGTGTGTGTGTGTGTGGTGGGCGAGGCTTTGATAAGAAGGTGATGTGTTGCCAGTGAGGACAGGACGGGCCAGGGTGGGGCCAAGAGGCTGAGAGGAGATAAAGGAGCCAGTTAATTTCAGGAAGGGAGTCCTTGTCAAGCTGCTGCCGCTCAGACAGCTCAGACACGGTGGTCGTGTCCAGAGTTCCAGGGCGGCTGTCACTGATATGAAGGTCTATTACACAACCACAATGTTAGATAAAATGACGGGATGGAGTTCTGGGTCAAAGTCAGAAAGTCAAAGTCCACCTCAAAAATTCTAATATACTGGTTGTATTTTGCCTTGAATTTATTTTCTTCTGTGTAAGTCCCTCGCACAGATGGGTTTTTTGGTTGTAGCCCCTCTCTATTTATGTTCATGTTTTAGTCAATATGTGTATGTGTACGCTTCCTTGTATTTCCATACTGCAACAGATATATCTGTGCATCTGCATGATTTAGCATTTTTATATGCGTGCCTGCAATTTGATCCCTGGGTGTCTCTTTCTTTAGCATCTGCTCCTCTCGTTTGTGGAGGAAAGCCGATCCCTCACGGCTGAATTGGCTCCAAAGTCATATGACTGAGGAAATGCCCACTACTCTAGGTATTCGAGTGAATGCGCCGCATCACAGATTGCATTTCACGCCATAGGGGTTCATGTGGAGGTTTTATAGTGGAAGTTACTGGTATCTGTGTGTGTATTCTGGGGCACTAACATCGTTGGATGGGTGTGGTTGGCTCCTTGCATCCCCTACAGCAGTCAGGAGGCCGACCCACGCATCAGCCATGCACATCCCATGTCCATATGGGTCCAAGCAGCCCCATATGTCTGGCTTGTGCGCTGTTCACATGCAGTTATAATCTCTAGCGCCTCTCATTGTGCCTGCGAGCCTCGGCTGTCTGTCTCTCCGTCTTCCTGTTTGTTCTCACATCTCGCCTGCCTGTCTATCCACCTGGCTTCCTGTAATAGCAATAACTCACATCCCAATGCACACACACAAACAATGACACATCCGCTGCAACTCAGTGACCTTGGCTTTCATTTTGTGAGAATTAAGAAACCCCAATTAGCACCTACATCAACAACAGTGATTGCCTGTGTCAGGGTGAGAAAAGGGGTGAGACAGAGCGAGGGAGGGAGGGTTTGTTCACAGTTTCAGTGAAAAAAAAAAGAAATCTGTGAGGTTCCGCCTTTTGTTTCCTGTCACATAGACATTTGCCCTCATGTTCTTTAGCACAGATCGTAGTCGATGGCTGGTGTTAATGAGACGCTGGTTGATCTGTGACCTTTCGTCGTTCCCAAGAAAGCGTCAAACGTCCCAGAATGCCTCCATCGTTTCCCTCTCAAGCTGCTCCTCTTCCTCACACCCTGACTGCATCACATTCCAAACAAAATCTTCCAAAAGTCATTAGCAGACACAAGCAATGACTCACAAAGGCCTATGTTTTGCTTTTAATAGACACATTGTGTGTCTCTCCTCTAGTTAAAGCTGGAGGCTTATAACTGATCCGTAGTGAGAGAAACACCCAAGAGTGCCATTCTTGCTAATCAGGGTCAGACCAGTTTCATTGTTGGCCCAGCCACTCATGAAACCACAGGATTTTAATCTGTGGTTTAGTTTTGTGCTCATTGAGTTGTACGTGTCCAGAGGTCAAACTGTGTCTCACATTTATTTTTCATACATACACATTATTGTCTGTGTTTCCAACGCCCACATACCATTTGATCGAGGGCTGCATAATTTTTGCAGTTTCAGGAGGCTGATGCAACCTGACTGACACTCTCTCTCTCTCTCTGTCTCTCTCTCTCTCACACACACACACACACACACACACTG